CACCGCCAGTTCATGCTGTCTCTGTCTCTCGTGGTCCTGCCGTTCCTTCTCACGGTCCTCCAGCTCTTTCAGTTTCAGTTCCATTTCTAACTCCAACCGGGAACTCAGTTGGGAAGATCAATCCTGGGGCTGCCTGGCTGCTTTCAGCCCCTCCTGCATCCCTGGTTGGGTCAGTGGCTGGGATGACCCCTGGGACTGCCTGGCTGCTCCCAGCCTCTCTCGCGGCCCCCGCTGGGTCAGGAACCAGCTCCTCAGAGCAATCATTCTCTTCCAACTGGGCAATCAGCTGTGCCTTGGTGAATCTTCCCATGTGCAGCCCTCTCTCTCTGCACAGCTCTACAATGTCCTTCTTAAGGAGATGGTTATAGGCCATCTCCATGCTATTCCCACATGGTCATGGACTCACAGGCCTGTGCTCTCTGAGCTCCCCACGATCCCTGGGAGGAACCCCTTCAGTGCGATAGCCCTTCTTGGGGGGCCACTCTCTCTCGGGGATTAAGCCGTAAGACTCTGCCTCCTGGAACTGCACCTCTCGGAGACTCCAGCATGCCCGTCTCGTGCTAATCCCCTTTGTTTTACTGCTCCCCAGTCACTTACTGCAGGATGCTCTGTCCACGGGATGCAGTTTGATCCCACCACTGCCACCAGTTGTCACGGAGTCACCGGGTGATGATCTGGAACTACTCCATACGAAACCAGTCAGGACTCTGGGGGAGCATGCCTCCTCTCTCTGAGCATACTGTCTCCAGGGCAAGAAGATTACACAGCTTCGACCTTCCTGGGTCTGACCTTGGAGCATTCAGCATCCCCTTTGCACACCATGCGATTCCCACAGCGAGTCCACACAGGCGGGGCTCCTGGGGAAGCCAGAGGGCCGCGCACCCCAACTCCACAGTCAGACGTGACTCTCAGCCAGTATAAAACTGGAAGTTTATTCATTGACAGGAACACAGCGTAGAACAGAGCTTGTTATTACAGACATCAGTGACTTTCAGCCAAGTCCATCTTGGGAATCCGGGGTCAGACGCATTTATGTCCCAGTATGGAGGTGGTTCCTGAAAAAGTCGGAATGTTATAACTGTAGGTGAGAGGACATGGTAAAGTCTTGCCTGGTGGGTGGAAGGCTGAAATCCCAGCTGAGCTGAGCAAGAGTCCAGATTGTGTGGAGTGAAACAGGTAGTCCTGGATGAGGGGAAGAGAGGATCTGATGGGAACCCTCTTCCACCTCACAGAGCAGGGATTTCTGGTGAGACGCTCCTGCTCTCCAGCTAAACCTCTTGGACCTCTGCAGGACAACTACAGTCCCAGTGGGTCAAGCAGCATCTGGCTCAGACTCAGGGCAGGATGCAGAATCTGGCCCTACTCATGAGACAGCAGATCCAGGTTGGACAAAAGAATCCAGTGGCAGGTCCAGCAGGTTGGAAAAGTCCATACTGGGCAGAGAGCAGCATGTTGGCCCGGTCCACTGCCTGGCAACGAGGACTGGGGGCTGCCTGGTTTCAGTCCAGGAGCTGTGGTCTGCTAGAAACCCAGGGCTGTTTCTGCCCCAAGAGCAGAGCAGGCTGCAGGTGGCATTGTGTGCTTCCCACCCCAAGATCCGAGCACTGGTTAGTGAGTGTCTGAGCACTCCCTGCTGTGGGAACGTCTCAGGCAGCTCTCTGCCCAGAAAAGGTGAGACGCGGTGAGTTTGATGTGATGATGGACACTACCATCATGTGAGCTGAACCAGTTGAGACAAACGCTGACCTCTGGCAGTGAGACCTGCCCTTTGCCTTCTGCGGATCAGCAGGTTGCCTTTGTGCAGATCGCTGTCAGGGATCTCTGCTTGGCAGCTGAAAGGGGGATGTGTCCCTATTGGCAAGCTTCTTTTGGGCATGGAATATGAAAGGCTGCTGGTGTCAGAATCCACAGTACAGGACTAAGACCTTGACACCGCCTCCTGGATGCTTGGCATTGGGGAGGAGCCCTCTTGAGGGCCTGTTGACAGCTGGCTCCTCGTGCCTCTCTCCTTGTTTGAGCTTAGTAAAGGCCTAATCCAAGGGGAATCAATGATGACAGAAAAGGCACTGAGTGTGCATGTCCACCACAGGCCTAGCACTCTAATGGGAGCAGGGGGCTTGGACTTACCTGAACAAAGAGCTGTACACTGGAGTGGGGAAAGCTCACCACAACTCTGACACACAGGAACCAAAACAACCTAGCATAGAGCCAAACACCAAGGCTTCTACAAGCCTAAAAATACAAGGGCAGGAACAAACCTTGGTGAGGCGGTGACACTAATGCGCCACTGCAACTAGCTGACACTGACATGCCCCGTATATGGGTGGGGGGGGGGGGGGGTGGCAGGAGGAGCAAGGACACAGGCAGGGTTTCCCCCAACCCCATGGACACTGCCCTACAGAGATTCAGTGCTGTGCAGTGGGGGTTCCCTGGTGGCTCCATGCTACTCAAACACTCAGCCTTAGCAATAACTCATGTGCTGCAGACACTCACCTCCACTAGCCCTGCTGCAGCTGCCTGCTCCAGCAGAGCCACTGCCTTCTGCATGTCAGCCCCTTCAGTTTTGGGCCCATGGCATAAGAGGAACCTGGCATAGCGGTACTGGGCCATGGGGTGCCCATTGCTGCCTGCACGATGGTAATAGAGGGCTGCCTGGAAACAGAGAAACACCATCATGAGCGCCCAGAGGTATGCATGCCAGGCTGCGTTGTCCCAGGCACCTTTGTGAGGAGGCTGCCACTCTCCAATACTTACCCAGCCTGGCAAGGACATCACAGCATGCATTTGCATCCAAACCCCCTTGCCGGTTCTCATCACAAGCTATGCATACTCACCCAGGCAGCCATTAGTAGAAATACCCTCCCTACCTGTGCAGCCTCCTAGAATCATAGAATATTAGGGTTGGAAGAGACCTCAGGAGGTCATCTAGTCCAATCCCCTGCTCAGAGCAGGACCAACACTAACTAAATCATCCCAGCCAGGGCTTTGTCAAGCCGGGCCTTAAAAACCTCTAAGGATGGAGATTCCACCACCTCTCTAGGTAACCCATTCCAGTGCTTCACCACCCTCCTAGTGAAATAGTGTTTCCTAATATCCAACCTAGACCTCCCACATTGCAACTTGAGACCACTGCTTCTTGTTCTATCACCTCCTTCACACTCAGCGCCCTGCAGTTCCCAGACATGCACCAGAAACATGAGACTATTTGGGTGAGATCCTGCTTCCCAGGTATGATCATCAGGGAGAGAACTGACTATGGGAGACACGCAGCCTCTCCCCAAGTGTGCACCATCCCTCATGAACACCCCATCCCCAAGCATACACAGCACATGCCTGCACCACTGCCTCATCACACCCGTTCTGCTATCCAAATGCCATCACATTACAGTCCTGTGCTAGCTGCAGCAACTGCTCACATAGGAGAGTGAAAGTAGGGAAATGGGATAATTGGCAGCTGGGGACTGCACCCTCTTTTCCTAGCCACAACCCCGATTCCATAGGGGGTGGCATAGGGCTAGTTACACCAAAGACTCTTCTATGCCTTGGGACTGGCACAATGCCCAACTAAGCTGGTTTTGCAGTTCCTTTGCACCAGCTGAGTGGCACAAAATAGCCACAGCAGGGGCACTGCTACAACCAATGCTCCCTAGGTTCAAGATGTGCATCTCAGTGTACCCACACAAAGCTGCTGGGAGGTGGTTCAGGCAGGACATGGCTCCTGCACATGTGGTGGTGTTTTACATATGTACCATACGGTAACAGTATTCTCCCAGCCACTACTAATGCTGCATACATAAGTGTATGGAACAGGGCCTGGGAAGGTCCATTTGAAAAGGACAGGGCTGCAAAGGAGCCCAGTCTCCTCCCATGAGGGGCAGTCCTCCCAAGGCACCCATGCCTTTTAAGCCTACACTGGCACACATGCAGCCTTAGCTTTACCATCTCCCGATGGGAAGGTGTTTGACTCTGCAGCCCTAACTTTCCCTCCTAGGAGTTTCCTGGCTGGAATAATTAACAGTTTCCATTTACATGTATAATAGCTCCCACTAGAGTCCTGCAGCAGGACTGGAATCCTGTGGGTCCTGCAGGACCCGCTGCGATAATAGCAGGAGTGGGATAAAAATTCAAGGAACAATGTGGGAGCGAGTGAGAGTGAGTAATGCAGGGCAGGATGGGAGCAGGATTAAAAAACAGTCCTCCATCACCACAAACATAAACACCCCAGCCAGCAGTGGTTGCTCTCTGGCCCCCAGCTCTGAGGGAGAGCCCCCATTGCCAACCTATCTACGCCTGGAGATGGCGGAGCGTGGGGGCTTCCCATCCCCTTTGCATGACAACACAGTGGCTCTTCAGCCATTTGCATGGAGGGTTAGAGGTTTCTAATCCCTTTGCGTGGAGAAGGGAAGATGCTGGGGTTGCTCATCTCCTCGTAGGAGTGCATGAGGACTCTGACCCCTCTGTATCGGTGATTTGGGCTGGTTGGGCGGTCCTCTTCGCATTGCATGGGGATCTAGGGAGTGGTGGATGCTGGTGGGGAAACATCTGCTGAGCGCAGCACATCCAGCCATTGCAAGGACAGTTTTAGAGCCCTGCAGTGGGACTGGAATCCTGCGGGTCCTGCAGGATCCACTGCCACAATAGCAGGAGCGGGATAAAAATTAAGAAACAATGTGAGCGTGGGTGGGAGTGGGTACTGCGGATCTGAACAGGAGTGGGATTAAAAAAATAGTCCTGCACAGGGCTCTACTACCTACCCCAGGACTTTTGAGGGCCCCCCCACACACCCAAGGGTTGCAGGGTGCCCCTGTGCTGACAGGCATTCATTGATGCACACAAGGGTATAGATGGGATCGGTGCCTTGCTCCCTGAGGCAAGGGACCTTGGAGCAAAGTGTCTCACAGGCATTCCCTCTCCACCACTGCTCCTATTCATGCCGCTACTCAGCCTCCTGATAGTGCAAGTGTGTGTGTGAGGGGAGGGCTCTGCGTGCCACCAGGTACCTTTGCCAGGTCTTTCTCCGTGCCTCTGCCATGCTCGTAACAAAGGCCCACGTTGAACTGGGCTTTGCTGTAGCCCCGATCTGCTGCCAGCTTGAAGCAGGAATAGGCTGCCCTGTCGTGGCCATTATTCACACTCTCAATCCCTGGGGAGGGAACAGTGCATGTTCAGCAAAGCAGCACAAAGGCATCAGGCAGGACAGAATCATGGAACTCATCGTGTCCCACCCATAGCAGCTTGCCTCACTGCACCCTGCAAAGTTTGTCAACTCTTGGCCCCACCCCACCTCAAGCCATGGAGTTTAGAAGTCGGGAGGGACCAATGGCCCAGCCCTATGTTGGGGGAGGGGTTCTCTAGCCTCATCACCAGCCTCTCCAATGCTCCAGGCTCCCTGTCATTTCATTTCCCAGAGTTCATTGCAAAGCTGGGTGAATTCCAGTAAGAGGTGGCACAGAAGACTCTGCAAAGGCTGACAATGGTTGCAGGAACCCCACCCTCTGGACAGGTAACGGGGCCGTGACAACAGCCAACTCACACAAAGAACACCTGGGAACCATTACTAGTGCTGCAGATTCCATAGACTACAACAGCAAGAGGCTTCCCAACATATTTGAGGTCCTCCAAAAAGGAGAGGGTGTGTGGGTGTCCCTGTCTCTATTCCTGCTATCTGCAGTTTAGGACATAATGAAGCCTGGTCCACATTACCAAGGATATTGAGTGCAATGGAAACGCTGACCCGGAACACCTGCTGCAGCTGGGTAGCTGCTTCCTCCAGGCGTTCCTGCTGTGCTGGCTTCCCCTGGAGAGTGGAAAATGACAGCCCCTAAGAAGGAAGAGAATTAGAGGAGTGTTAGCAAGCCCCCCAAATCTCATGACAGCTCCTGTCATGGCTGCCAGAGCACCTTCCCCACATTAGGGCCACAGTATACCAAACCAGGTTGTCATGGCGTTTGTGCTCTAAGACAGGGGTCTCCAAACTACGGCTGGCCCGCGGGCTGGATTCGGCCCGGGGCTTCCATTTGTCCGGCCCTCCAACCAACAGGGGAGAAGCGAACAGCTGAGTAGGCACGCAGAGTAGGCAGGGGAAGGGGCCGCCGGCAGCAGCTCACGCAGGGCAGCAGCACAGCTGAGCTGTGCAGAGGGGTGAGTGCCTCTGGGAGCCAACTTAGGGGAGAGTTGCTGCTGCAGCCGAGCAGGCACAGACCCCTGCCTTAGAATAAAAATACAAGTCAGATGCTTAATTACATCTCCAATAAATGGAGAAAAGAAAACGAAAATTAACAATTTCATAATGGTTAAATTTTAACTACAGCACTAATAGAACCAAACAGTCCCAACTAACAATGGGAACCTGGAGCTTCTCTTACCAAAGTACAGCCAAACTTTCAACCTTTTGTCATTTTCTTCAGCAGAGCAGGCACAGGGAGAAGGGAGCAGGCACGAGGCAGAGCAGACCCAAAAAGGGGAGCCAACTTACAGTACCTGCATCGATTAACTTTTAAACCTGATTTAGAATTTAATGCAACACTGACACAGTAGAGTAGTGTTGTTTTTTTAACGATTTTGCGTACATTTTTGCATATATTTAATTTCTTTCACAGTCACTTTGGCCCGCAAAGCCCCTTCAAAAATCTAATATGGCCCTCGTCTCATAAAGTTTGGAGACCCCTGCTCTAAGAGGTGACAAAAACCTCCTCACCCAGTCCCATCAGGCTAGGGAGCTGTCTGAACACACCCACAATGCCACCCTGCTCAGCACCCTCAGGCCGGGGAGTCACATCGAAGTGCCCCCAACCCCAAACATGGTCCTCAGGCCAGGTAAGCCACCTCAACGCTCCCCTAGCCCACCCAAACAGCCCCTGCAAGCCAGAGGTTCCAGCTCAACATTCCCCGGGTCCCATGAGGGCTCCTCAGGCCAGGGGAGCCACATCGACGTTCCCCTAACATGGTGCCAGCTAGACCCTTCTCCAACCCGGAACAGACCCCTCAGGCCAGGGGAGTGCTGCGCCACCTCTTACTCAGCAGCAGCTCCGTAGAATCAGGAGAGCCCTGAAAAGGCAGTCAGTAACCCTCCCACACAGAAATACATAGAATCATAGAATATCAGGGTTGGAAGAGACCTCAGGAGGTCATCTAGTCCAACCCCCTGCTCAAAGCAGGACCAATCCCCAACTAAATCATCCCAGCCAGGGCTTTGTCAAGCCTGACCTTAAAAATATCTAAGGAAGGAGATTCCACCACCTCCCTAGGTAACACATTCCAGTGCTTCACCAACCTCCTAGTGAAAAAGTTTTTCCTAATATCCAACCTAAACCTTCCCCACTGCAACTTGAGACCATTACTCCTTGTTCTCTCATCTGCTACCACCGAGAACAGTCTAGATCCATCCTCTTTGGAACCCCCTTTCAGGTAGTTGAAAGCAGCTATCAAATCCCCCCTCTCTCTTCTCTTCCGCAGACTAAACAATCCCAGTTCCCTCAGCCTCTCCTCATAACTCATGTGTTCCAGACCCCTAATCATTTTTGTTGCCCTTCGCTGGACTCTTTCCAATTTATCCACATCCTTCTTGTAGTGTGGGGCCCAAAACTGGACACAGTACTCCAGATGAGGCCTCACCAATGTCAAATAGAGGGGAACGATCACATCCCTCGATCTGCTGGCAATGCCCCTACCCCTGCTCCTCCTGTTCCCAGGTCAGGTTCAGCAGCATAGGCAGCATCTCCCTTCAGCAAACATGGAGCAGCCCATCTCCTGGCACTCTAAATCATTCAAACTTAAATAGCCTGTCAGTTAAATAAATCAGCTCCCTCCTCCCCCATTGTCCTTGTTTTATGGCTTTTTCCTCACTTCCCTGCTAATTAGCAGCACCCCATAATTTGCCTAGTCAGGAGAGGGAGGGAGCCAGGCTTGGAGTAATTGTTTCCTAGTATCTATGATACAGTTTGGTGCCACCAAGTAGCAGCAGTGCACGCTTCATCTAATTTCAGATTAGCTGCATGCTACTATTTACAATGCAGTTCAAATCAGGAGAGGAAGCATGGAGAGGCCCCTTCTCACCCAGCAGGTTTGCTTCCCACCGGTCAGTCAGAGCAACTCTCAGTCAACAGAAATATAGGGATCTTTTCACTCCTGCAAGCCCTGCAGAGCTGGCCCAGCCACGGAACAGGGAGCTGGGTCCATCCCTCAGGACTCTGCAGAGCCAGCTCAACCACAGGGGAGGGAAAAAAACAGTGCAGAAGTATGTAATTAAAGATTGTACAATAATACAGATACAGGAAGGGGTCTTGAACTAAGGCAGCCTTGATTCTGATATTTCCTAATATTTTGTGCTTGAGTTTGCAACCTTAATGTTCTTTGAGTGCACTTTGTGTGATATGTACGTACAATGGGGTCCTGATCAATGTTCCCTCTAATTTTTTACATCCATGTGCGGAATGAATTTTGTTATGTGCACTAATATGGAGGTGATGCGTGGCGGGGTGGGGCTGAGGGGTTCAGTGTGGGAGGGGCTCAGGGCTGGAGCAAAGGGTTGGGGTGTGGGCTCTGGGGTGGGACCAGGGATTAGGGGTTTGAGGTGCGGGAGGGGGCTCAGGGCTGGATCAGAGGGTTGGGTGCGGGGGGGGGGGGGTGAGGGCTCTGGGGTGGGGCTGGGGACGAGGGGCTTGGGGTGCAGGCTGCTGTAGGGGAGTGGAGCCGAGGGAGAGGTGCCTCTCCCTGCTGCAGCCCTGCATGCCCCCTACCTCTCTCCTCTCCAGTCCAGGACCCTGTGGCTGCGCACCTGCATGGCCCTTGATAGCCTGCTGTGCAGCCATGCAGCTTAGAAGGAACTTAGGTCCTGATCCTGACTGGGCCCTATTGGCAGCGTGTTCCCACAGCACTAGTGTATGTGCTGTGCAGACTCCTAGGGCAGGATGCCACTACACACAACCTGTGGAAAGGGGGCAGAAGTGCCGTAGCTATGACTCCTGCTCTGTGACCATGACTCTCCCAGGACACGGTGCATCAGTCAGGCTGTACTAGAAAGAGCACTGACTACGTGCTTTGGGACAAGCTCCTTCTAAAGCCAAATATTCACAGAGAAACAAAGAGACTGTACCTGTGCACTGCAGTGGGCTGGCCCCAGGCTGGTGTTGCAGCTCTCAGGGAATGGACGCTCCCCTGCAAGGAGAGATCAGGGTAAGGCATGGGCCTGAGACAGACCAGGAAACCTGCAACCCCTCTGCCTCCCTCCTTCCACTCCACCCCACTCTGGAGAATTGGATCCTATCCCTGTTCTGCAACAAAGTTCCTTTAGGATGCTAGGCAAATCACTGCAATCAAACTTTCACACTCATTGCATGTTCCTCATTTCCTGGGTGCCTTATCTGAGCCCCTTGGGTCTGATTTGCAGAAGCTCTGAGCGCCCACAGCTGTAACTGAACTCAACAGGTGTACGTATAAAGTGCTATGTAATGCTGTGTACTCTAAAAATCAGGCATCCAAAATTAATGAACACGTTTGACTTTAATCTTCCTGTGCCTCATGTGTAAAGCAGAGATAATAACCCCTGACCGCCTCACAGGTGTTGTGGATACAAACTGGACTGTGAAGTGCTCAAACACTGGAGTGACAAGTGCCAGGAAGCAATTAATTCTGCTGTGTTCAGTGTGGGGTTTGGATGGTGGCAGCAAATAAGGCAGAGGCTGCAGTAAGAATATGTACTGAACAAGTAGCCAGCCATTCAGTGAGCACCTTCCTGTAGCAGCATTCTGGATTATGTCACCAGTGTCCCTCCTCGATGCACCACTGCTCCAGGGCACTCACAGACACAGCCTCACACTCCTTGACATCAGGAACTGGAACATATGCTCTAATTCCAACCGGAATTATTTTGGGGAAGTCTCTGGCCTGTGTTATACAGGGGGTCAGACTAGATCAGTAGTGGGCAATCTGCGTCCCATAAGAGTAATCTGCTGGTGGGCTGTGAGATGGTTTGTTTACATTGACCGTCCACAGGCATGGCCGCCTGCAGCTCCCAGTGGCTGCAGTTCGCTGTTCCTAGCCAATGGGGGCTGTGGCAAGTGGTGTGGGCTGCAGGGACATGCTGGTCGCCGCTTCCCACAGCTCCCATTGGTCAGGAACGGTGAACCGCGACCACTGTGAGCTGCGGGCGGAGGTGCCTGTGGAAGGTCAATGTAAACAAACTATCTCGAAGCCTGCCAGCGAATTTCTCTGATGAGACACATGCGGCCTATGGGCCGCAGGTTGCCCACCACTGGACTAGATGATCACAATGGTCCCTTCTGGCCTTGGAATTTACGACTCTATGAATCCTCCGCTTCTTAGTGACATCATCTCTCCACATGGAGAAACTGCCATGATGGGTCATCTGGATTTATGGCTTATTACAACGATCTGTAACCCATTAACACACTCTTTTTCATTTATGAGTACAGGGGGGATAACAGGCCACTTCACTTTGAATGGTTTAATACAATGTGTGTTAATGACTTATGCTAAACAATCTGTTGACCTTCCATTTTGCTGTGACACTGGGAGTTAATTTCAAGGACCTGAAGAAGAGCTCTGTGGCTCAAAAGCTTGTCTCTCTCACCAGCAGAAGTGGGTCCAATAAAATATATTACCTCACCCATCTTGTCTCTCTAATATCCTGGGACTGACAGGACTACAACAGCAAGACCCAATGATGGCTCATTGGCAGGTAACCCTCCAACACACACCACTTTCACTGCCCCTACAGCAAACTGCCAGGGGCTGCAGCTCTTCTGCAGGCCCATCCCACCCACAGCAAACTGACAGGGGCCTGCAGCGCTTCCTCTCCCACACCCCCAGCCCCCTACCAAACTGAGAGGGGCCCGCAGCGCTTCCTCACTCTCCCCACCACTGCCCAGCCTTGTTGGGAAAACACAGCTGTTTCCTTACAGCCCCTCGACCCTCTCAGAGGGAGGGATTTGGCTGTGACGATGAGGCAGTTCTGCTGCTAGCACCCTTCTTCCCAGGCCCACATGTCTTCTTGGCAGATGCCTTCCCCCTCCGCTGGCACCCATACAGCCTCTCCTGAACAGCAGGAGCTCTTGGGGATGGGCAGAAGGTGGCACGGGGAGATTGCAATCATGATTTCATTTTGTACAGGATTACTAGGAATCATAGTGGCACTATAAAGCTGAGTGAGATCCCAAGTCCCCACAGCTGTCTCAGAGAATGCAAAATCCATCACAGCCTGAAAGCAGTTTTCCCAATGGTCAATTCCCTCTCTGTTAAAAACATGCACTCTATTTCCAGTACAGATTTGTCTGCTTTACACTCCCAGCCAGTGGATCCCACTGCTTTTGACTGCTGCATAGGAGTCCTCTGCTCTCCAAAATCTCCTTGTGCACAACTAGCTGCTCATGATCAAAGTTAACTCCTAACCAGGGATAAGCTAAAAAGATGGGACTCCCTCCAATTCTGACTGTGAGGCAGGTTTCCCAGCCCTCTAATTGCTCTTGAGACTCTTTCCTGGACCCTTTCCAAGTCAACACCCCTTCTGAAGCAAGGACACCAAACTGGACGTAGAGTCCCAGGTGCCAAGGCCAATCAAGCCCACCCTCAGTTGCACCATAGACTTCTTCCCCACCTCCAGGAGACACCCTGCACTCTTGGCTCCTTGAGACTCCCAAAAAATCCCTCTGCCTTGGGTACCCTGCCCCACACAGCCTGGGCTGGTACCTGTTTCTGGGCAGAGTTGGGGCTCTCCTTGCCTTGAGGGGATGCCAGGGGATGGATTCTCTGGCGCAGTGTCTGGAATCCCTCCCAGCAGGAAGCAGGGCACTTTCTGGGTACTGCAGCAACTGGATGAGCCTGCAGCTGGCACTGAAACACAGAAGACAAGCCCCAACACCAGAAAGCCATGCAGGATGCCACCTGTGGGACATGCCTGGGGTCGCCCCCTCCATGTTCGGCAGCACCTGGGGCCCCCTGAGCATTTGCTCAGAGCTCTCCCATCTCTGAGCATGGGGCCAAAGGGCAGGAGAAGAGAGAACTCCACAGAGTCCAGGGCAGGGAACACAAGGAACCTGCTGTGTGTGTCTCAGCCCAGAAGGTGCCCAAGCCAGTGTGAAGGGATAGGGTGTTTCCCAGAGACATGACCCCCAGGCTCACAGGACTTCACACCCTACTGGCTCCCAATTTCAGACTGACAGGTGCCTTCTGCACAGGGGAGCACAGCCCTCCCTGTACACTCACAGCACTCCCACAGCAGAGACCCTCAACCAACAGTCACCCTGGGCCCCTGTCCTCCCGCAGGAGGCAGAACTGACCTGAGTGCTGATGAGGCAGCAGAGAAGAGAGGAGTCCACCCACCCGGCAATGCCCGTCCTCTCTTCCTGCCCCTGGCACAGGGCTCGGCCATGGGATCTGCCTGGCCAACTGCAGAGCAAGCACAGCTAGTGCGCCCTAAGGGAAGGAAAAGAAAAGTCAGAGAAAACCACCCCTTCCTTTCTCCCCTCCCTGCAGCACATCACTCTCCCTTTCCACTGGGCACTCAGACACAGCAGAGCATCCTGCCCACAGCTCCGCAACTACACAGCATCCCAGCCGCAACTTCCCTCCACACTGCCATACGCATCCTGTCCACAGCTCTCCAGCCATCCCTGACTCCCCACCCCATTCCCGCAGGGCATCCCAGGCTCAGCTCCCCACCGCACTCCATAAGGGCATTCCATCTGCTGCTCCCCATCCAACCTCAGCTGCCCACCCCATTCCCACAGGGTGTCCACCCCACACACCTCTGTAGGGCATCTGGGTCACAGTTCCACAGCATCCCACTGCCCACATCCCTGCAGAAGACATCTTGATCACAGTTCCCCCCAACCCCCAGGTGCAGCTCCACCAACTCCCTCCTCACAGGTGCCTTGGCCCTGCCCTTTATAGAGGCATCCACTGGTCGCAGCTCCCTCCCCCACCACCAGGAGGAGATTATCTCATACCCAGGTGAAGGCATCCAGGATTGTGTAGTGAGGCTGCAGGTTCAAGAAGGGTCGCTGCCCATTCCCTTGCTCCCAGCCATCTCGACCCCGTCTGCTCTGCCAGCCAGGTGAGAGTAAATAACTGGAAAACAAAAAATAATGTAAAACTCCTTTCCCTGCAAAACTGGGTGAGATAATGAGTTCTCTAGACTATAGGGGCCCAACCCACACCACAGTTAAGTCAATCAGAGTTTTCTGTTTAGATCTGAATTTTCAAAGGGCTCTACCATGCGAGGCAGACAAAGTCTGATTGGAGACCTGATGCTGGGTTTGCAGTGCAAATCTGAGGTCCATCAATGCAGGGGTTCAGGAAATACAGGACCCCACCCTCCCTGACCTGCTTTTAAAATGTTCAGGTTATGATGCTTTTGGCATAGACCTGGGGAAAAACTATGGCCATGAGCCACAGAAAACTAGCACTGTAGGACTTCCTGATCCAAGCTAGTGTCAAGCACCAAGAACAAGTCTGGTAAGCCAATATTTCAAGTTACTGGACTTCATTCTGGTTCTCCCAACACTAAATTGAGCTACTGTAATCCCGAGTCAGCTGACATAGGCAAGACATGGGTGATTTACTGCAGTGTAGACATGTCCCCATTCTGGTTCTCCCAGTGGTGTACTTAGCTACTGCACGCAACAATCCAGAGTGGAGACAGGAAGCCACTGCACATGTTCGTTAGTACTCTCAGTTCTATAGATCAGCCTGAAACTCACTTCAGACCAGGGGTTACGGGCACAAACACAGGGTCATTAGGTCAGACAGTTCCCAGGATAAGGCACTCCCACCCATACACACCCAACAATGACCTGGCTCTGCTTATCAGCCTGTTGTAAAATGCACATGCAGAGTTAGATTGACTTGAAAATGTGAATGTCAGGTAAGGACCAGGAATAGACTGAAGAGAACAAATCTGGGGGCATTTGCACAGAGGTTCCTGAGATGCAGCCCCCTCAAAATGACCTATCTGCAAGAGCAGCGTGGCTTGAAAATTGACCTGCCAGTTGAATGCCTGCACAGTGTGGGAAACTTAGCATCATTTAAGGGGATTACCAAGCTATTAGGCCCCAAAGTGTAAGCACGAAATGGAGTGAACATGGAGCTGGTGTTGAAGTTGTGTCAGGAGAGCAGCTGCCAGCTCCATTTCTCTGGAGGCTTGCTACTGCAGGTACAGGGACAGAGCTGGCAGCTGTGCGATCTCAAGACCCCTTAACCCTGCTCCCAGGGAGCCAGCAGTAGGCCATGGGAATGAAACATAACCTCACCCCTTCCTACCCTTCCATTTTTTCTGTGCCCAGCACAGCTCCAACCCACCATTCCCATCGATGTCTCCTGATGCCCATGTCACAGGATGCATCAGGAAGCACTGCCAGCAGCAGGTGCTCCACACCTGTCAATGACATCTCAGGAGACTCATGGCTGCAGCTGTAGGGATCAGAGCTTTAAAAACTTTAATGCCATTATTCACCAATTCTCCTTCTGTATCCCTGCCAAGCTGAGAATCCAGTGCTGCTGCTTGGCTGCTCCTGCCTGCACAGTACTAACTACAGCTCTGTTTTTCACTTTTCTTCCTTTAGGCGGCACTGCTTGGTGCACTCCCTGAGAAGCAGGGCAAGCAGTAGCAATGTGAGCAGTGGCAAAGGCCACAGCAATTAGGGGCAGTGAGGGGATCCCAGTGTGAGGGTGGAAAGGAATACAGACAGAATAGATCTGGGATGGTGCCATGACTTGGACAGTCTCTGGTGCTGCCAATAAAGCTAAGCCAAGATGCTAGAAAGGCAAGGATTGCAGAGATGATCTCTGCAGCGGCACTAGAGGGCATCTGGCCATTTTCCTGCTCTCTGTTACTCCCCCCTATTCCTGGATTTCACAGTCGCAGCTGTTGCCAAGAGCACTCTTTATTGCCTGGGCTTGGCAAGAAAGTTCCAGTCCAGCCTTCCCAGGGCTTCTAGGCTCCTGTGTGACTGCTGTATTACTCTCTGCAGGGCACTGTGCCTGAAGAGCATTCACAAACTGTTACAGACCCCTGCCTGGAAATTAAGCAGTGCCTCATGCCAGGAGCCCAATACACTCATGCTCCAGGAGCCGCACTGATTGCTGATTCCTTTCTAGGTGACGTCTGAGGTCCTACTGGTTACCTACAAACATGGCATAAAAACTCCACTCAGCCAATGGCTTAGGGCAGGGGTGGCCAACCTGCGGCTCTTCAGAAGTTAATATGCGGCTCCTTGTACAGGCACTGACTCCGGGGCTGGAGACACAGGCGCCAACTTTCCAGTGTGCCAGGGGGTGCTCACTGCTCAACCCCTGGCCCTGCTCCCACCTCATCCCTTCCCAGCCCCTCCCCTGAGCCTGCAGTACCTTCGCTTCTCCCCCTTCCTCCCCAGATCCTCCTGCACGCCACGAAACAGTTAATTGGGAGGTGTGGGGAGGGAGGAGGAGGCGCTGATCAGTGGGGCTACCGGTGGGTGGGAAGCACTGGGAGCGGGGGAGGGGGAGCTGATAGTGGGGGCTGCTGACGTATGACTGTGGCTCTTGGGCAATGTACATTGGTAAATTCTGGCTCCTTCTCAGGCTCAGGATGGCCACCCCTGGCTTAGGGAAATGAAAATGAGGATAAGTGACTGGGCTGAGTTCCCACACTGAAATGGCTTGAGTGCCGGGTTCCACCTGCTCCAGCAAACCTGCAATCTCTTCTCCATTCAGGACAATGTAGGGAGTAGGAAAGTGGAGCAGCTGAGAGCCCGAAGGCTGAGCAGCAAACTGGGCAGACTGGGACAGGGGCAGAGGAGAGGGCCAGCTGCTCGAAGCAGAAGTATTGGTGAGGATCTGTTACCGACCATCAAATAAAACCAGAGTACAGATGGTTACTCCTATCTGTAATGTGTGGACAGAAAAACTACGTTGTTTTGAGAGGCCCTCAGTTTAGGAGACATGTTGGAAGGTGTCCTGCAGCCAGCAGTAAATCATCATTAGTTTCTAAACATTACAATTTTCTAACCAAAAGGACAACATTGGCTAACCCATCCTGGTTCAGTGGCAAAATTAAGGCAGCAATTAGAAAAAAAAAGCAATATATAACAAATGGCTAAAAGGGGAAATAGACAATCATTATATATCAAAAGTTATGATGTGCAGAAATATAAGGGAATCTAAAGATGGAAAAAATCCATGGTTGACAGGACTTCATGTGGACATATGAAGTAATTTTTTAAAGTATATTAGATACAAAAATATCCAACCAATGGTGTAGGCCTGGAGATGGTAAAATTGTTAATGACAATGTAGATAAGGCAGAAGTGTTAAATAAATATTTCTGTTCTGTGTTTGGAAAGAAGCAGAATGACACACTCACATAACATTAGGATGAGGAAGTACTTTCCAGTACATTAAACTACATCTACTAAGGACAGATATTTTGAAATCAGCAGGCCCAGATAACTTGCAACCAATAATCCCAAAAGAGTAGGCTGAATATATCTGTGGCCTGCTGATTTTATTTTTTAACAGATGTTAGAATACTGGGGAAATTCCAGAAGACTGGAAGAGTGCTAATGTTGTGCCAATATTGAAAATGGGCAAGGGGGATGAACTATAGGCCAGTTAGTCTGACATTAGTCCCATACAAAATAATGGAAATGCTGAGATGGGATTCAATGACTAAAGAATTAAAGGAGGGTAACACAATTAAGGCCAGTCAACGTGGTTTATGGAGAATGGGTCTTGTCAAGCAAACCTGGTTTCATTCTCTGATGAGATGACAAGTTTGGTTGATACAGGTGACTGCATAGATGTAACATACTGGTTTTTGTATGGAAGTAGTTTGACTTAGTACCACTATGATAAAATACACCCCTATGTTCACACCCAATACACTATTGTAATAATCTTTGTTCAAAGTATGCCCTGTAAGGTATCATTTGAAAACTCATTTGAAAAATAATTTGCCGGTCAGTATTATCCTGATAAAATGTGTGACAACATTGTATATGAAGTTCTAAGATTCCCCCGTATGATGTTATTAAGGCTATGTCTCTACTAGCACTTTTGTCAGAAAAACTTTTGTCGGTCGGGGTGTGAAAAAAACACCTCCCCTGACCGACAAATTTCACCGACAGAAGCGCTGATGTGGACAGCACTATGTTAGTGGGAGATGCTCTCCCGCTGACATAGCTACTGCCGCTTGTTGGTGGTGGTTTAATTATGCCAACGGCAGAACTCTCTCCCGTCGGCATAGAGCGACTACCGGGAAACCTTATAGCGGCACAGCTGCAGCATTACAGCTGTGCTGCTGTAAGGTCTGTAGTGCAGACATAGCCTAACACATGTTCCAAATCCCACAGATCTCCCCAGGCAGAAGTCAGGTCTGTCCTAAATAAACAAAGGAATGTCTGCTTGGCTTAATTTGGATTTAAGTAGTAAACAGAGTCATCAAGCAGTGAAAGAAAACAAAAGAAGTTCAAACATTTGGGGGAAAAAACAGCAGGAAATATCCTTCCATACAGACTCTTTGTCTTCTGGGTCTTAGCTAGAAATGTTTTTCAAGAGGGGGCACAAACTATAAAAAGGTGGGACAAACATCCTCTCTCTCGGCCTTACCATTGCTTTCTCTGCACCTGAAGAGACAAAGGAGACAGCTGTTGGATTCTGGGGGAGGGGCCCGACCTATGAGTTTGGTCAGTAAGACTGCTGAAAGCATGTGATGAGAAAACTTTGCTTTGAATCTAATATAGTTTGTTAAGTTGGGCACCCAGATAGCATTCTACCTTTATTTTTCTTGCAACCAATTCTGACTTTTACACTTCATTACTTGTATTCACTTACAATCTTTTTCTCTGTAGTTAATAAACTTGTTTTACTGGTTCATCTAATCCAATGTGTTTGTTGAAGTGTCCGGGGACACCATATGGGGTAACCAAAGTTGTGTATGTATTATTTTTTCAAAAGAAGAACAGACTCAATATATTCACTGTCCAGGAGATGGCTGGACAGTACAGACATACGTTTCTGGGGGAAAATCTGGGACTGGGAATGTGCTGGACTCACCCTGTGGACTCTTTAAGGCTGGTAACAGCCAAAGGGTGGCTGGCTGGCTGGCTGGAGCAGCACACACAGACATAGCTGGGAGTGACTTACATACCGCAGGCTGTTTGTGAGCAGTCCAGGTTGGTGGCTCCAGCAGCAAAGCCGTGTAAAGGGCACCCCAGGTTACAGGGCAGGGGTGACAAAGATACTCATTGGTCTGGACTGTACCTTGGTATGTCACAACATTCTGATTTTAAAATGAGCACTATACAATATCAAGCCACACTAAAAGGATTAAGAACTGGCTAATTGACAGATCATCCTGGAAGGGGGTATTTCTAGTGAAGTTGTGCAGGGATAGGTATTAAGCCCAACACTATTCAATATCTTTATAAAGACCAGGAAGAAAATATTAAAAAAAAAAACAAAAAACAGCTGATCAGATTTGAAGATTACACAGAGACTGACAAAGTGGCATATAATGATGAGGACAAGGTAGCCATACAGAGTGACCTGGATCACTTAGTAAGCTGGGACCATTCAAATAGAATGCTTTTTAATACAGCCTGTCATAAACATACAGCTAGGGGTAGCCTAGAATTCCTCCTTACCTGTAAGGGGTTAAGAAGCTCAGATAACCGGGTTAGCACCTGATCAACAGGACCAATGGGGAAAGAAGATACTTTAAAATCTGGGGGGGGGGGGGGGGGAGGTTCTTTTTGTGCTGTGTGTGTGTGTGCGTGTGTTCTCTCTTGGGACTGAGAGGGGCCAGACAGAAATCCATCTTCTCCAACCCATCCTAATCCAAGTCTCCAATATTGCAACCAGTATAGGTAAGCCAGGCAAGGCAGATTAGTTTATCTTTTGTTTTGCTTGTGAATTTTCCCTGTGCTAAGAAGGAGGTTTATTCCTGTTTTCTGTAACTTTAAGGTTTTGTCCAGAGGGGAATCCTCTGTGTTTTGAATCTGAATACCCTGTAAAGTATTTACCGTCCTGATTTTACAGAGGTGATTCTTTTACCTTTCCTTTAAATAAAATCCTTTTAAGAACCTGACTGATTTTTCCATTGTTCCAAGACCCAGGGGTTTGGGTCTTTGATCATTTTGTAACCAATTGGTTAAGATATTATTCTCAAGCTTCCCAGGAAACGGGGTGTAAGGGCTTGGGGGGATTGCTGGGGGAAGAGGAACTCCAAGTGGTCCTTTTCCCTGGTTCTTTGTTAAATCACTTGGTGGTGGCAGCGTTACTTAAACCCAAGGTACAAGGGAGAATTTGTGCCTGGGGAGTTTTTCACCTAAGCTGGTAGAAATAGGCTTAGGGGGTCTTTCGTGTGGGTCCCCACGTCTGTACCCTAGGGTTCAGAGTGGGGAGGGAACCCTGATACAGCCAAATGGAAAGTTATACATGTAGGAAGGAGGAACGCAGGTCACACCTACAGTCTAAGGAAACAGGGACTCTGACAAGGATTTAGGGGTCATAGTGGACACGTAACTCAACATGCGCTCCCAGTGTGATGCTGTGGCAAAAGGGCTAATACAGTCCTTGGAGATATAAACATGAGTGTGGAGAGCAGGAAGATAATTTTATCTCTGTATAGGACATCGGTGAGACTGATATGGAATACTGCATCCATTTCCAGTGTCTGCACTTTAAAAATGATGTTGAAAAAAGGATGCAGAAGAAAGCCACAGAATGATATAAAGGCTGAAGAAAATGCCTTACAGTGCCAGACTTAAAGAGATCAGTCTGTTTAAGGTTATCAAAACGAAGACTGAGAGGTGACTTGATTTCTGTGTATTGTCAAGGAAACAAAACACTGGGTCTAAACCACTCTTTAATCTAGCACAGAAAGGCAAAACAAGAACCAATGGCTGGAAGATAAAGCCAGGCACATTTAAAATAGAAATACAGGACAAATTTTTAAGACAGTGAGGTTATTAACCATTGAAACAAACTAGTAAGGAAAAGAAATGGTGAATTCTTCATCTCTTGATGGTTTCAAATCCAGGCTGGCTGCCTTTCTGGAAGATGCTTTAGCTAAATACAAGTTGCTGGGCTCAAAACAGAGATAACTGGGTGAAATTCAAGGGCCTGTGTTGTACAGGTCAGACTACATGATCTAATGTCCTTAAAATTTAGACTCTGTGAAACTCAGGGCCATCAGCAGCAGAACTGTGGTGGGGAGGAAGTGGTGGCAGGGGGATACAGACAGAACCAAGCATGCGCCGGGGGAGAAACACATGGAAACTCCTGCAACGTTTTAGCAACCCAAAGCTTTGCTTGAGCTGGGTGGACCTTTCTCACCCTGATTTCTCTGGGATCATATCAGTTTCAAAATTCAACCTTAAGCACTATTAAATTTTGATTTACCCTCACCCTCTGTTCCAACTTGATTGGAGGAGCAGCCACTCTATCCCTCCCCTAGCCCTGTCCTGTTCCCCTAGGACACCTATTTCTTCCCCCCCCCAACACAGGGACCACCTGACTGGGCCATAAGAACCCCATCACCTAATCCTGCATCAAGGCCAGTGAGAAAGGTCCTGGCCCCACAGCACTGGACCCCGCCCTCATCAGTTGAGAGCACCTGAGCACCCAATCGCCCACAGAAAGCATAAGTTGTATGTAAATTCTAGTCCTGCTGGTAGTTTGCCAGACTACACCTGCTGGTGACATGCCCATTGCACCGAGCCACTAGGCTCAGCCTTCAGGCCAGCAGTGCTCAGGCTTGTTTTCCAAGCCTATATAAAGCCTTAAATGGGTCAGGCGTGGGGGGTTGAGTTGGGAGAGCCACTGTGAAACATTTACATTGTTTCCAGGCACTCAGACAGCAGCTTCACATCAGCAAATCACCATCCTCCAGGAGATGAGGCAAAAGGCAATACAGGACTGGAGGGGAGGGGAAGGGAGGAGAGTAGAGTGTGAGAGGCACAAAGCAGCTGTACTAGCACTGGGTGCCATTCATCACTGCCGGGGGGAGCAGCATTAGGCAAGCACTACTCTGGTGTCTAGCTCTACTCTGAGTAGGCAAAGTTACACGACAAGGTGGCAGAGCTCCAGCTTCACTGCAGCTTTGGAGCAGCACCCACTGCAAATGGTGGTGATGAAGTTCTTGTGTAGACATGGCCCGGGTGCAGCACAGGGAGATTGACAGTGTGGCACAACCTGACTCATGCTGCAGCACCAGTATGGCTCACCAGTGGGAATGCTGGGGAAAAGGGCAGGAATTCACCCTGACCTTGGGCCTGCACAGGCTGGCCAAAGGGGTTCCAGAGTACCATGGAGACCTCACTCAGTCAAATGCATGCTCCCCACACTGAACTCTGGAGTGTATGCAAAGGGCTTAGCTAGAACACTCTCCCTAGTGTGGACATCTGAGGCAGAAGGGGAAGAGATACGGGGAGAGGGCACTACGCTGAAACTCCTGCATGGGCCAGGAGGGAGAAAGATACGGGATAGGGACCTGGGACCAGAGGTGAAGCTGAGTTAGGTTATAAGAAGGAAAAAACAGAGAGAAAACCAGGACCCGGATTAAAAGACGATGACTTCAGCAATTCCTTAGATCACCATCAGGAAAAGGGATTTCATGTTGCAGTTCCTGAGAACAGGGTGGCCTTTGGAGCATGTTTGCTGCTGTCTTCAACACTGACTGAGGTGAAGGGATGGTATGACCAGACCAAACCAAAATGGGAATATCTCCAGGACGCCCCTTTACACTTCTTGCCTTTGGCTAAGAAGTCCAGTCCACGCAGACCCCAAAAGCTGCTTACCTGCTGCCTACAAGCATAGTGGGCACTGAGGACGATGACAGAGCCCTCAATTGCCTCTCCCCCAACACAGAATAAGACATGTGGGCTATGCAGGTCTTTCCCCTGTTCCCTGACCCTCATTCTGCATTCTAGCTGGGTACTGCACTGTAGGGGCTGCCCAGGTCTCCTCCCTGCTTCCCACATCAGAAGGTTGACCATCCTCACCTCTGTTCAGATGGAGTCTGTCCAGTACTGAGTGCTGAGGTGGCGTTCCGGAGCTCCTCATTGCCAGGCAGGGTTGGGATCCCATGGACAGAGCTTGAAGCATTCAGCACATGGAGACGGTGAAGGGCTGCATGTGGAGTTAGGAGAGGGGAACAATGCATTGGGATTCTGCTTGGAGGAGATTCCAGACACTCCAGCATGTAGCTCAAGGACAGAGCAGCCTCCCCAGCATTAGGACATGCTCTGTACCCTCAGGAACATTGGGTTTGGCTATATAGGGGTGTCTGTGCTGCCTCACTGGCATGCATTCTGCTCCACAGGGAGCCAGAGACCCCATTCCCCATTCCCTTCAGGAGTGAACTGATGCTAGCACAAGGAAAGTTAAGCCCCCATCTCTAGTTATTTGGGGAGCAAGCAGCCTGAAGTGGAAGCTGTCGGAGCATTTCCAGTCTAATCCCCACTTGGTGTTGAACCTCCAGGAACACTCTTGTTCGGGGCAGAATTTCCCAGACTCAGCCTCCATCCAAAGGGAAGGATGGATTGCAACCCAAACTGGCTCAAGCAGGGTGGGCAGCAGCTGCTTTGTTATGCTTCTGACGTGGGGGTCATATAGCTCCCTAAAAATGGGGTATTTTGAATTGTAGGGTTAATTAAAATGGAAATTGTAGTTTAGCAAGTAATTGAATTTACTAGAGGACTGCCTGGCAGTCACAGCTTAGCGAGCATGTAATAACTGAAAGGAGCTGGGGGGAAAGAGCTCCCTTTCATGAACATCCATCCAGTCAGTTAGCTATGAAGTTCCTCTTGCTGGCTATTCTCTGCTTGCTTTACCTGTAAAGGCTTAACAAAGTTCCCCAAGTAAAGAAAAAGGAGTGGGCACCTGACCAAAAGAGCCAATGGGAGGCTAGAGCTTTTTAAAATGGGAAAAAAAACTTCCCCTTTGTCCCGTTCTCTGGAGGAGACATGGAGCAGCAATGCTATAAGCACGAATGCAGTGTAAGGCTTGAACCAGGTACAAAAATTCATCTTCCATACCTAGAAGAACTCATTAGACAGGGCATATTTAAATAGATGCGATTAGGTTTATTTTGGCTTGTGGATCAAAGTTCCTCCCCCCCCCCCCATTTTAAAAAGTTTTAGCCTCCCACTAGCTCTTTTGGTCAGGTGCCCTCTCCTTTTCCTTTACCTGGGGAGCTCTTTACAGCTAAAGCAAGCAGAGAACAGCCACCAAGAGGGACTTGATAGCTAACTGGCTGGCCGGGTGTTCATGAAAGGGAGCTTCCCCCCCCTCATTTATTACACTAACCTTCCCACGCGGCAGGTGTAACTGGGCCACTGAGTCCTGGGCACCACTTTACTGAGCCAGCGACAGGCTGGGGAGGGCGCTCAGGTCCGGGCTGGGGAGGCTGATTGCTAGGACCGGATTACACAGCTGCACGGCCCGGCTGGGCTCTGGGAACGTTAGGGGTTCAGGACGGGAGCTGAGGGAGGAAGGCAGGCAGGCAGGCAGGCAGCTAGCGCGGGGGTGGGTGGCGTGGGGGTGTCTAAGGCGACTTGCTAAAAGGAAAGTGCGACCTTGCGGCGAGAAGTGGGCCGAGCCTTCCCGCCCCAGCGCCGCGCCGCGCCGCGCCGGGGTCAAGAGCTGCCCGGCCGGGTTGCGGGTGCCCTCAGAGCGCGGGGCAGGGCTCGCCGGCCTATGCCTTCGCTCAGGCCGCCCCCGCTGCGGGCGTCGGGACATTGCCCAGCCCGCCCTAGCAGCGCTGCCGAGCCCCGGCCCGGCCCGGCCCGGCCCGGCCGCGATACGCAGCGGGTGTGTTGTGTGAGCCCCGCTCCAGACCCCTGACCTCGGCTCAGCAGCCCCGGCAGCCTCCACATCCCGCTCCCGAGTCCCGGCTCCCAGGCGGCACCGCGCGAGAGAGCACAGAGGGGAAACGTCATGGGTGGAGGGGCCCCGGCAGAAACCATGGAGAAGGAAAGTGAGGACTAGAGGGGGCCAAATGAACCCATAGAGAGGCAGCGTGAAGGCTAGAGGGGACACACCAGACAGGATGTGTGAAGGCTAGAACACCCCTGAAACCATAAATAAGAGCTGTGTAGACTAGGGACCATATACCATAGAGAGGATATGGGAAGGCTAGACGGTGCCAAACCCGACCATAGAGAGGCAATAGCTAGGCTAGATTAACCCGGAATCATAAAGGAGGCACAGGTCAGAGGGGCCAAAGAGAGGAAATCCGGGGGGCAAAGGAGAGACAGACTCCCAAGGGAACCTGTGGTTGCTGGGTGGCGGGGCCCCACTCACACGGAGACCAGCAACTTGTGGGCCGTGGGGCCCTGGAGGAGTGGTGGGTGGCTCAGGCATGAGCCTGGTCACCCAGGTGACTGGTCGCTGATAGGGTTGCTAACTTTCTAATGGCACAAAACCAAACACCCTAGACCTGCCCCTTCTCTGAGGCCCCACCCTCTGCTCACTGGATTCCACCTCACTCACTTTCGCTGGGCTGGGGCAGGGAGGAGGTGAGGGCTCTGGGGTGGGGCTGAGAGGTTTGGGGTGTAGGAGGGGGCTCAATTCAAGTCAGGTCTGTGTTTTTGGGGAGCCAGGGTGCAGTATATAGCCAGTCTGACTCATGAAAGACACCCCCCCCCCCCCCCCCCCCCGTCTCTGCTTGAACCAAAACCGATCAGAGAAAAGGCTTACAGAGAGCAGTGAAGAGCCGTTGCGAGACACACCTAGACCCCCTCCTGGCAAGGGTGACAAGATTAAGACATCTCCATCTCATCTGCATGAAAGATGGGACAGAGATTGGCATAAAGAGTGAAGAATAGAGAAGCACACTGAACTCTGGGACCAGAAAAGCAGGGATACACTGCATCATGGGAATTTCTGTTCCAGATGTTAATGAACCTACACCTGCACACACCCAGCTCAACAATTATCAGGTCAATTCTCGTAATAAATCCTTGATTGATATCCAAAATACTGAAGCAGCTTAATTGCATTGTGAGCTCCCTGGAAGAAAACACCACCCATAGCCAAGAGTGATCAGCTCCTATTGTCTAGCCTAAAGAAAACCCTTAAGTCATCGGTTTATCCATAAACAAATCTGGTGTTCTCCCTTGAACCATTGTATTTTCTCTACAAAAACCCCTACCTATGCCCAAGTACCATCACCACCATCACCTGGGAACCTTGACCAGTTCACGCTTCAGGGAGTGATGAGATCCTTTTTTCCCCTCTCTCTCTGTTTTCCTTTCTACCTCAGGTATTAACCTTTAATAATGTTATGTTGGTTTTGGCTCTCCTTGTGTAGTTATCACTATTATTCAATAAATAACTTTTATGGTTAAGCTGGTTGCTTCTCTCTCCCTCTCTCTGAACTTTACTCTTTTGTGGTTTTAGCTTCCCCCATTTACTCTGCAGCAACGCTTCTTTTACCTGAGCTAAAGATCCTTGTAGTGCCCAAAAATACTGTGGGGTTTGCTCATCAAGTGGGTAACGACCAGTACAATTGTGACGTGAAAGTGGGATAGGGACGTGTTAAACCTGTGGCACATAAGGGTGGGGGGGCAGCTGAAAGTGCTGCTCAGCCCAGCCTATTGAGACGAGGGGCACATAAGGGTGACAGCTTGAAGGTGCTGTTTAAACCAGCCCATTGAGTACAGGGACATATAAGGGGATCAGCTTGAGAGTGCTGATTGACCCGGTTCGCTCAGACTTGCTCTGTTAGTGTATGTATGTGCGTGTGTGTGTGTCTTCATTTAGTTCGAGGGCTGGAGAAACCCAGTCCTGGGGAACCTAGGTCCTGCAGGATAGCTCCACTGGGAGGGGACTTGCAGAAGGAAGGAGTAGAGCTCCATATGAGAACACAAGTGACATGAGAACACAAGTGACATATGAGAACACAAGTGACATACATTAATAGAATTACAGAACCTCCCCACCCACCCTGAAGAGTAACCCTAATAAATGAGCATACCCCAAAGTAACGGGCATATCTGGTAACAGGCTCCAGACTTGAGGGTAGGGCTGAGGGATTTGGAGTGCAGGAGGGGGCTGTGGGTTGAGACAGGGGGTTGGGGTGTGGCACGGGGTGCAGGCTCTGGGCTGGGGATGAGGTGTTCAGGATGTGTGAGGGGGCTCTGGGCTGGGGCAGGGAGTTGGGTTGTGTGTATGGGGGGGTGAGGGCTCTGGCTGTAGTGCAGGCTCTGGGATGGGGCTGGGGATAAGGGGTTTGGAGTGCAGGAGGGGGCTCCGAGTTGGAGGAGTCAGGTCTGGGGCTGGGGGTTGGGGCGCTTGCTTACCTCAGTCGGCTCCAGGTCAGCGGAGCACTGGGGCTAAGGTGGGCTCCCTGCCTGTCCCGGTTCCGCACTGTGCCCCGGAAGCAGCCAGCAGTCTGGCTCCTAAGTGGAAGGGCCAGGAGGCTCTGCATGCTGCTTTTGCCGGCAGGCACTGCCCCACCCCACCCAGCTCCCTTTGGCCACGGTTCCTGGCCAATGGAAGTGCGAAGCCACTGTTTGGGGCAAGTGCAGCGTATGGAGTCCCATGGCCCCTTCCTAGGAGCCGGACCTGCTGGCCGTTTCTGGGGCACAGTCCGGTGCCAGGATAATTAGGGACTAGCTTGCCTTAGACCCAAAGCACAGGCCCGCTCCCGGTGGGCAGCACCTTAGATGGTGTCCTGCCCCTGGATGAGACACGGGTCCGGGGACACAGCTGCCCAGCAGCCTCTGAGTACGCATTGGCACTGGGGGCCTGAACCTCAGCTCCTCAGCACGGCCAGCCAGGCTCCGGAGCAAACATGGCCTGGTTGCGGCAGGCGGGCTCACAGGGCTGCTGCAGTGACTCAGCCCCTGTTGCTGGCACCGAACTCCTGGCCAAGTATAGTGCGAGAAACTGCTACCTGTAGGAATTTGCTACCTGTAGCAGTTACTCATATGTAAGGGATTGTAAAAAAAATCTGCTCTTGTAAAAAACTGCTATCTGATGTACCAAATTCCTACAGATAGCAGTTTCTCACTATACTTGGCCAGGAGTGTAGTGCCAGCAGGAAGGTATGGGCGCTTCAGGGAAGGTGTGTCCTTGGGGAGGGTCTCTCCGCCTCCGGCCAGTGGCTGACTCTGCCCTGAAGCAGGAAAGATGTGTTATGTGGTTCAGTGAGGCCATATACATTCACAGGGATGAGAACATCCCTGAATCCGGCCAACGCAACTCTAGTGGCCTTGTCAGCTCATGCTGGGAGTAGTGCCATAGCCCTCAGCGATAGTTTGCAGAGAGGGACTATCCTCTCTCTGCACAAGGAGGTGCCTGCAACAGGGGAGGCCTCCTGATTCATACTGAGAAAGGGCAATCAGCTAGTTATCTTAGGTGCCTGTACATGAATGTAAGAAGCCTGGGAAACAAGCAGGAAGAGTTGGAAGTCCTGGCACAATCAAGGAACTATAATATGATTGGAATAACAGAGACTCGGTGGGGTAACTCACATGATTGGAGCACTGTCATAGATGGGTATAAACCAGGGGCCTCAAACTCAATTTATCTTAGGGCCAGTGTCAGTCCTCAAATCCTCCCAGCGGGCCAATAATGTCACGGAAGATAGTGTTCACACCACCTACCAGCCTGTTTCCCACCCTTTTCCCTCGCTCCCTTGACCTCATGTCGCCCCGGCTGACTGTGCCCGGCAACTAGTGACGTTGCCTCCATGGCTGACTCTGCCCAGCAACAAATGATGCTGCCTCCATGGCTGACTCTGCCCAGCAACCAGTGATAGTATCTCTGTTCCTCTCCCCCAGCCAATGGGAGCTGTGGGAGGCGGTGCCTGTAGCAGACAGCTGGCAGCCTGGCTGCATAGGTCTCTGTGCGGGCAACAGCAGGGATAGGGAACTGCTTGCAGGGAGCGGAGCTGCCCGAGGTGAATGACAGGTTGCCGAGTGCAACCCCTGGGAGGGTCCAAGGAGCAGCAGGATGGAGCAACGTTGTGGGGAGGAACATGTGAATCTCTCCTGCCCACTCCCCTCCCGTCCCACCCCACCTCAGCCAGCAGCCGTGAGGGCCGGATGAAAGAACTTTTAAAAAAGTTTCCGCGGGCCACATTACGGAGGTTCTTGGGCCGCAGATGGCCCGCGGGCCGGGACTTTGAGTCCCCTGGTATAAACGGTTCAGGAAGGACAGGAGGGGGAGAAAAGGTGGAGGAGTTGCACTGTATGTAAGAGAGCAGTATGATTGCTCAGAGCTCCAGTATTAAACTGGAGAAAAGCCTGTTGACAGTCTTTGGGTTAAGTTTAGAGGCAAGAGCAACAGGGATGATATTGTGGTGGGCATCTGCTATAGATCACCAGACCAGGAGGATGAGGTAGACGAGGCTTTCTTCGGACACTTACAGAAGTTTCTAGATCACACATCCTGGTTCTCATGGGGGACTTCAATCACCCTGATATCTGCTGGGAGAGCAATACAGCAGTGCACAGACAATGCAGGAAGTTTTTGGAGAGTGTTGGGGACAACTTCCTGATACAAGTGCTGGAGGAACCAACTAGGGGCCATGCTTCTCTTGACCTGCTGCTCACAAACACGGAAGAACTGGTAGTGGAAGTAGAAGTTGATGGCAATCCTGGGCAGCAGTGAGCATGAGATGGTCAAATTCAGGATCTTGACAAAAGGAAGAAAGGAGGGGCTGCAGAATACGGACCCTGGACTTCAGAAAAGCAGACTTTGACTCCCTCAGGGAACTGATGGGCAGGATCCCCTGGGAGGCTAATATGAGAGGGAAAGGAGTCCAGGAGAGCTGGCTGTATTTTAAAGAAGCCTTATTGAGGGGGCAGGAACAAACTATCCCGATGTGCAAAAAAAATAGGAAATACCCCAGGCATATTTGGCTTAAGAGAGAAATCTTCAGTGAGCTTAAACACAAAGAGGAATCTTACAAGAAGTGGAAACTTGGACAGATGACTAGGGAGGA